GGACTACCGGGACTACCGGGACTACAGGGTCCACCAGGACTACAGGGACTACAGGGACCACCAGGTCCTCTGGTTCCTCTGGGACTTCTTCCTCTGGGATCAGGGCCTTTGGGACCGGGTCCTCTGGGATCGGCTCCTGTGGAACTGGTTCCTCTGGGACCGGGTCTACCGGGTCCACCTGGACCACAGGGTCCCCTGGGACCAGGTCCTGTATGACCGGGGATTCTGGGACCACCGGGACCACCAGGACCCCCCAGGGACCACCGGGACTACAGGGACCACCAGGACCACCGAGACCTCTGGGTCCTCTGGGATCAGGGTGTGGGACCGCCGGGGCCTCCTGGACCACTGGTTCTTCTAGGACCGGGTCCTTCTGGACCGGGGCCGCTGGGACCACCGGGTCCACAGGGACTGGTCCTCTGGGACCAGGTCCTCCGGGACCCCCAGGGCCTCTGGGATCGGGTCCTCCTGGACTGGGTCCTCTAGGACTGGTTCTTCATGAACTTCTTCCTCTGGAACAGCTTCCTCTGGAACTGGTTCCTATGGGACTTCTTCCTTAGGAACCGCTTCCTCTGGGTCTGCTACCTCTGGGACTGGTTCCTTTGGGACTTCTTCCTCTGGGACTGCTTCCTTTGGGACTAGCTCCTCCCGTACTGGTTCCTCTGGACTAGAACCACTAACCAGGTTCCTGTCCTTGTCCAGATGAGTGTCCAGGAGTACGAGATGATCCAGGAGGAGGACGAGCGGTGCCTGAAGCGCTACAGGAAGCAGTGCATGCAGGAAATGCACGAGAGGCTCAGCTTCGGCCCCAAGTTCGAGAGCGTGCACGAGCTGGAGAGTGGGGAGGCCTTCCTGGAGGTGATAGAGAAGGAGCACCGGCTCACCCTGGTGGTGGTGCACATCTACCAGCACGGGGTCAAAGGTCAGGGCTGCTCCCGACTAACTGGTCCGGTTAGAAACACACCAACAAACAACCAACAAACCAACAACACCCAACCAACAAACCACCAACAAACCACCAACAAACCACCAACACCCCACCAACAAACCACCAACATACCACCAACACCCCACC